TCCTCACATATGGTGTTAGGAAGAGCTGATTCTACCGCCATGGGGGAGGAAAACCATACAGAGCTTGGAAGGGGGTCATTTGGAGAGAAGTGCGGAAACTTGCATTGTACAACCACTCAGCTAGAGCCAACCACCCATGCCACTTTCTCGGCTACCAAAAACACATGCATCTGAGGTAATTTTCTAAACATGATTGATTCGCTCTTTCAGTCCGACCATCAGATTGTGGGTGGTAGCTTGTGCTCATGTGTATCTTGATCTTGAGGGACTTGAACAATTGCTGCCATAAGTGACTTGTGAAGATCCTGTCTCTAAGTTAGTATGACCAGGGGCATACCATGTAACCTGAAGATTGTATCAGAGAATGCTCTTTCCACATATTGCACTATTATAGGATGTTTCATGTAGATGAAGTGTGCATATTTGGTAAATCTGTCCACGGCCACTAGTATCAAATCTTTGTTTTCAGACACATGCAATCCTTCTATGAAATCCATAATAATGTGTATCCATGCAAAGTCAAGAACATTCAAGGGCTCTAGGAGGCCAGGATAAGGAGAATGTTTTGCTTTGTTGATTTGGCACACTAGCATTGCTTGACAAATGCAATAACATCTTGTTTGAGGCCGTGCTAGTGGAATACAAGTTTCACTCTATGGTAGATTGCTATCTCTCTCCAGAGTGGCCCCCTAGTTCATAATTATGTAAGGTTTTCAAATGTCATGTATGGGAGAAGTTGCTATGCCTACCACAATTTTATTGTGAAACCTTCGAATTCCATTTTTGGAAGAATAGGCAGTGCTATTGTCTTTGCTGCTAGTATATTAGCTATGAGTTCCGTCACTTTGTTGCCATCCCTTGTAGCTTTGACCACCTCTTTAACTCATGTAGGAGTGTTTTCACTAATAGTGAGTGTAGAGACCATTTACTTGACTCTAGATAATGCACCAACAGCTTTATTTTCCTTCACTTTCTTGTATTCCACTTTGAAGTTGTATCCCAGTAATTTTAGTAGTAACTTGTGTTGAATACCTTTAGTTAACTTCTTCTCCTGAATGTATTTGAGGCTTTCTTGGTATGTTCTGATTATTAGTGAAGTGGCCAAGAAGTAATTGTTCCATTTCTTGACAGCCTTGATAATTGCTAAGGCTTCTTTGCCATAAGCGGTTGCTGCCTTGGGCCCGATAGTTTTGCTAAAGTAAGAGATAGGTTTGCCCTCTTGCATTAACACAACTGTCAGTCCATAGGCACTGACATCAGCCTCTAGGTGAAGGGTTTAGTGAAATCAGGTAGAGCTAGTACACGTGTATTAGTTGACTTTTCTTTCATAGTCAGGAAGGACTTTTCTTGTTCCTCCTTCCAAGAAAATGCATCTTTCTTGAGGCAGTCAAAGAGGGGCCTGCAGATAATGCCATAACCCTGAATGAACCTCCTGTAGTACCCACTTAATCCTAGAAAACTCCTTAGTTCAATGACATTAGTAGGCGATGGCCATTCTTAAATTGCTAGAATTTTTTATGGATCAGTGGACACTCCTTGTTTGTTAATAACATGCCCTAGATATTCCACTTTAGATTGTCCAATGGAGCATTTTTACACTTTGGCATGTAGCTCATTGGCTTGGAGAATATCAAAGACTGCAATCAGGTGCTCTTTATGCTCCTTCAAGGACTTGTTGAATACTATAAAATGTCATCAAAGAAGACTACCACAAAATTTAAATGATCAAACAACATATTCATGAGGGCCTGGAAGGTAGGAGGGCCATTTGTGAGGCCAAAATACATCACTAGATACTCAAAATGCCACTGGAGAGTTGAAAAAGCAGTTTTGTGGATGTCTTTCTCTGCCATCCCGATCTAGTGGTAACCACTTCCGAGTCAATCTTGAAAATTATTATTGCTCCTTTTAATTGTGCCAAGAGACCTTCTATCACATGTATGGGGTGTTTCTAATTGTGACAGAATTAAGTTTTTTGTAGTTAATGCAAAGTCTCCAAGTCATTATTCAAAAATCGGCCGGTAAGCCGATAAATCAGTAGATTTATCGCTTATCGGGGTCAAACTGATAAGATAAGTGAATACCGTTGGTATTTATCAGTCTGACCAATATATCAGTCTAGCAACCGATATATCACTATATTTCTTAAGCCAGTCTACTCCCAAGATCATACCATATACCGCTAGTTTCAACACTCTGAATGTGTCAGAAAATTGATTTCCCTATATTGCGTAAGGACAGATGTGTGATGTGAAATCACTCCATAAAATCCCTCCACTCACCACAACTACTTTAACTTTGGGTGTAGGGATTGCTGTGGTTGGTAATTTTGCTGCCATATCTGGTGAAACAAAAGTGGAGGTACTACCACTATCAACCAGAGCACTAGTAGTAGTGTTGCCCAGCTTTATTGTGAGAGTGAACGTATTCCTAGCTACCCCAATATCCATAGCAGCATGCATAGAGAACTGTAAGACCATGCCATTAGGAGGAGGTTCAGTGTGCTCTAGGTCAGGGTCCTCAAAGTCAGTGACATAGATAGTTTTAGACATGTCTGTATCCCGAGCTTGCAGGGCCTACATTTGAGCTCTCTGGCTCATTTTACATACTTGCTCAGGTACCCAAGGTTATCTATATTTGCAGCAAACTTGGTTTTCCTTGGTCTATTGTATCACTGTGTTCCTATTTTGTATTGGAGATGTCACATGTGGTTTTGGTTGATCAAATATTACTTGTCTGTTTGGTTGAGGGACATAAGTTTTAGCTTGAATAGGAATAGTTCCTTTTTCCATTCTCCTGGCATACCACACAACTGTTTGCATGTCTCTGGGTTTAAAACACTCTACATGGCTCCTTAATCCTTATGTATGGATTGAGACCAGACAGAAAGCTAGTGACATAATAGCCAGTAGGAATGACAGGATTTTCCACCTCATAACATTCATGAGCTTTCAAATTGTTCCACATAAATGGCAAAAGTAGAAGTCTTTTGTGTTGCATGAAAAGTGCTAACAATGTCACAAACAGAGTCTAGGGCAAATCTTTTAGTGAGATAAGAACAAAGTTTGTGCCAAGGGACATTGCTTGGAGCATAACGAGTGCCTATCCACCATTGGACTGCAGGTCCTTTTAAATAAGAAACATCCAACTCAGTTATGTGCTCAATTGGAGTTCTTGCAACAGCAAAATACTGCTCTGGATTATGTATCCATGAGTCAGGGTCATCTCCATCAAATTCAGTGATGTTGAGCTTAGCAGGCTTGATTGTCAAAACTGCTCTTCTATTGTCAACATGAGTGGAAGGTCTAGATCTTCTAGCATTCCCTTCTTGCCATCCTTCTTCCTCCAGCTCATCTATGAGTACATGTGCTGGATTTTGTACTTGCCCTCCTGCTTGATTGTGGTCTCCTTTTGAGCTACCAAAATTAGGGTGCATGTAAGGAACTTTTGGTGTGCCATAATGGAGCTCCTTTCCTGAACTATCTCTTAGTGTTTTTGTTCCTACTGAAGAGGGAACTTGCTTCTCAGACTGTTGCACTCAATGTTGAGTTGGAGCTTGCAGCTGCTTGGGCCTTCCTGCCAGCACGATTGGGGACTTGTTGTTGTTGTTGTCTTTCCGCTGCACACTGCCCTGGGCAAAAATGTTGTCAGTTTCTTCCTCTGGGTCGGGATCCAACAACAAATGCCTAAAATTTTTCTTGGATTTTCTCAAAGTTCTTCTGGATAGTTGCAAAATTCTTGTTGAATGTCGCTTGGAACTCCTTGTACTCTTTGCGATCTTCCTCACACTCCCGTTGCAGTGTCTTGATGTCCAGCTCCAGCGAATCCAACGCCAAGTCTGATGTGCTGCCTGATTCGTCGACACACGTCATGACTGAAACCACATGGTTGAGAAGGGTGGGATTTAAGGTACCTTTGTCTACCGGCGCCTACACTCGCTGCCAGTGCGGTCAGATCTCAATGGCTGGGGTTTTACCATCGAATTTTTTTCTTCGGCAACCAGGTTGAGATCTTGACCACGCCCGACAACGCCACTTCAGCCACCTCCCTGCTACTCACCGCCGCCATCGAAATGAAATCACAGAGGGAATTTACGGTCTCCCAACCTCCGTAAATCACTCCGCCGCCAAGAATCGTCTGGCTCTCGATACCAATTGTGAAGCTCTAAGTTCTGAATGGAGGAATTTAACACTGAATAACTCAATTTCAGAGAAGATTGGAGAGCTCGAACTAGGGTTCTATTGCTTAGAAAAGGGCAAAGTAGGGTTAGCTCGCCACTGGCGAGCTAGGGTTTTGCACCCGATACAAATCAACATGGTCCAGAATGAGGAAGAGGGTTTGCTCTATAGCCATTACAACTCGGTGAAAGACGAATACAAGCAAAACAAATCACATGGCTTTGTTGAAAAATTATAGAGCGGCCGGTGGCAGCTAGTAGCCGTCAGATCGAAGATCGAGGGATGAGGACAGTCATTGCTGGCGAACCGGTATCTTCCAAGGTGAGCCATCGGATGACAGATCAACGCCTCCTGTGACTCCTGGCACGCAGGAACAATGGAATTAACTCTAGTTCTTCAGAAACGATGGACTTGGGGCCTGACATCTTAACTCATCCAGGTCCCAGGATACCGTGACAGTCGCCAAACGATGGGGTCGGGTGTTAAGCTGAATAAACAGGTCACATATAGGCACGAGCTCGTACGCTGCACCCACCGGAAGAGAGCAGAGAGCAGAAGCGGCCCACACCACGCCGCAGCCGCAACGAGGACAGGACAAAATCAAAACCAGTGGCGGCCACACCACCGGAACCGACCACAGATTTCCTCTCACGTTCCCGCGCCGCTATTTATACACTCGACCCCGCTCTCCTCGTCTCCACTACCATCCTACTCATCACTCACCACTGATCGTCTCCCCTCTGCGTCACCGGCGTGCGTGCGTCGTCAGTTCGCTCCAGTTCAGTTGAGTTCAACAGTTTGCTTCTCGGTTTCCCTCCCGTGATGGACACGTCGGCGTCCCCTAGTCCCAGCTCGTCCGCGCCGGAGCCTCGGCAATGGGCCGGCGGTCGCCCCGGGCTGGGGTCCGCGGCGCTTGAGCTGGCCTGCAAGGTGCTCTGCGTCGTGGCGACGTGCGCCTTCGCCGCGGTGGGCTCGCTGGTTGGGGCGGTGTCGGGGTCGGTGATCGGGCTGGCGACGGAGAGCGGGGTGGTGCGGGGCGCTGGCATCGGCGCCATCTCCGGCGCCGTCTTCTCCATCGAGGTCGCCGAGTCGTCGCGGGACCTCTGGCACACCAGCGACTCCTCCGTCTGGAGCGTCCTCTTCATGGTACGTAGTACTGCATTGCCACCTACTCTTCTGTCTTCTCCATTATTTACCACCACGCCGGAGTCCGGCTCTCCATGGAATGGAGCAGTCCCTTCCACGATGAAACGTGATCGCCTCCAAGACGAGGCGAATTTGCAGAACTCAGAGCACTCTGTGTCTCTGTTTCGCTCTGACGGCTTAAGCTTGCTCGACGCCGGTGACAATTTAGGTGCGGCCCGTGGTTCGGTTTGCATGGCCGGGAGATAAGAACAACAAAATGATGTCGACTGTTGACTCTCGGCATCGAATTTGTACTTTGTTATTGACGAGGCTACTGTTAAGCATTTGCTAGTGATGTCGAGGTACATTGAGTTATGGAGGCTTATTACTGACTATGTTTGTACTGTACGGCGTGCAGGTGGACATCATCCTCAGCCTGCTGAGCGGGAGGCTGGTTCGCGAGAAGGTGGGGCCGGCGGTGCAGAGCGCCGTGCAGAGTCAGGTAGCGCCTCGACCTCAGCTCGAACGAAAATCATGGCGCACCATGCTTGATTAAATACCAGTATTTAATAAGGCTCTTTACGACAACCACTCCAATTAATTAACCAATCTCCCTCAGCATACATACTTACTCTACTATCATGAGGTGACTGTCTGCCAGTGATAGCTCATTTGCATTGTCTACAAGCTATTGTTGTCTTCAGACACAAGGATTTCTTGTGAAAGCATCCATACACACGCAAGAGAGCGGCCTAAAAATGGTTAGTTACAGAGGTGCTATCCTAGAGCAAATCTTGTAGACCACTCACTGATTCACACTTGATAAGTCGCGCTTGGTGAGGTGAGCTCATCACCCACGAGTGCTAAAGAATCTTGCGTCGATGGCGGCATGGTTAACTAACACTGGTTTTACGCTCGTTTTCTATTCCATGTGGATCACAACAATTTAGATCATGTCACAAGGATAAGATAAAAAAAACAGTATGTCAACACAGCACAATTCATTTTCACCGTCAGTGTCAGCATTAATAATTAATTAACCACGCATACATTGGCATGCAGATAAGCGCCATAAGCTCGCCGTTCACGGAGCCCAGCGACCTGTTCGAGACCGGCGGTGCGAGGGGGCTGCCGGCGCACGCGCTCCGGCGGCTGCCGGCGATCAAGGTCAGCGCGGACACCGCGGTGGACGAGGCCGGGGAGGCGCTCTGCTGCTCGGTGTGCCTGCAGGACCTTGAGGTGGGCGAGTCGGCGAGGCGGCTGCCCGGCTGCCGGCACGTCTTCCACGCGCCCTGCATCGACCGCTGGCTCGTCAGGCACGCCTCCTGCCCGCTCTGCCGACGAGACATCTGAGCCCGGCCGGGCACCGTAGGCCGGCCGATCCCCTGCTTGTAACTAAATTAAATCGTCATTGTTCGCCGTGCGTCAGGTGCCCGTAAGGGGACCGGTGGCAAAAGAAGCCACTTGTGTAGCGATGCGTGAATGAATTGGGAACGTGGAATTGTGGATAAGAAAGAAGAATTGTTCGGGGCTGATCTGGCTTCCTACTACTCTGATGAAGATTGTTTGCACGTTCTGATTTATTGCACGCACGCCGGGCGCACACGAACTGCAAGACGACACAAGGAAAGCTTAAAATAAACAGGCAATCTATCTATCTCGACCGACTCGCTGTTTCCCATCCCGGTTTTTGAAAACGGTGGGCTTATAAGCGGAAAAGCTTAAAATAAACCTTAAACTTATAAACAAAAGTTAAATCGAATCTTGAACTTTTAATCTCTGAAACTAACACACTGATTTCTTGTAAAAAGAAAAAGAAAATCAGCACACTGAACTTTTTGATCCCGATCTATTTTAAACCTTGAGCTCGTTTCCAAACAAGGATTGTCCATGTGGTAGCAGGTTGAACCCGGGATCTTCGGCTGCGACTGGACCAGCCCACCAGGTGCAAAGTGTTTTTCTCTACGTTTTTCTCGTAACATGCGACGTAAAAATACTGAAAAAAGAGGTCCGGAGAATCAAACGAGTGAACTCTAACTGAACGTTGTTGGTGTGAAAAGAGAAGCACACTTTTTTTTCAAAACAGAGGCAAAAGATCTGCCTCCTTGATTAATTAAGAAGAAAAAATTGCCCGGTTAATTAACGGAAAACCGGGCGAAAACCGATACATATAGACGACATGCAGACTATTCGCTAAGAAAGAAACTCCATGACGTCACGGTCAACCCAACAAACACAACAACCACAAGCCTTCACAGAATGACGTCAAAACAAAACCCTCAATGAAACCACCGAATGCCACCAAATCGACGAGTCAATCGAAGATGGATGACGAAAAGACGGAGCATCCTCCATTAAGCAGCCGCCGACGCCTTCCTACCGACGTCACTCTTCTTCCTATGCTCCTGATAGCCTTCTTCACCTTCTTCATTTTGCCCGTAGAAACCTCCTCCGCTAGGAGGCAAGAAATCGTCTTGGCACTAGTGCAGAACCGGGCAATAGCACCGGTTCGTAAGGCCCTTTAGTGCCGGTTTCATAACCGGCACTAAAGTGTGGTCACTAAAGCCCCCCCCCTTAGTACCGGTTCAGCACGAACCGGTGCTAAAGGGCAACCACGTGGCACGAGCCAGCTCCGGGGGCCGGGAGCCCTTTAGTACCGGTTGGTAACACCAACCGGTACTAAAATGTTTGGGGGGGTTTTGGTTTTATGATTTCTTTTTCATTTAATTTTGTGTTCTTCATTTTAATTCTTTTTCGTTTGCTGGTATTTTACGATACTACACATTGTACACGTTATGCATATATATATATATATATATAAATAGAATTTCTAGTAGAGCCAATCATATATATATCATCAATGTCTCACAAACCACCATATTAATTCACACATACACACATGTATAGCTATATACAATTTTTCCTACATATGCATGTTGCCTTCGGAGCCAGTGGCATTAGCCTAATTGGTGCCTTCGAAGCACGATGACAATTGGAAGTGGTTCATGACCTGGTCGATGGGGGCGGTAGCGGGTAATAGTATTCTTCCTTCGGATTTATGACCTGGTCGAGCAAAAATCCCGCTATTTCCTCTTGAAGTGCTTCTACGCGCTCCGTTTCTAGGAGCTTGTCCCGCACCTCTTTGAACTGTTAAGAAGGAGATCAATATGCATGTGTATTAGTTATGTGACTAGATATCGATAATGGTGTAAAAATTATGAATAGTGTTCTGACAAGCGTACCCATTCCTGTCCTTGAGATCTGCTCCTTTCGGACGCCATCATGCAAATGTTCTCGCAAACGCAGAATGCACACAGATCAGTCCCCTACGCCTACTTCAGGGCCTTTATTACGAGAATGGAATTTAATTTGATCAGATAATAATTAATCAAGCATGATAATTAAAGAGATGACAGATAGCTAACTAGCTAGTACTACTTAATTACTTACCTTGGGTCGAAACCATTTCAGCTGTCGTTTCCATTCGCCTTCCGTGACGCTGATGAACCTTGCCCAAGCCCTGCCCGCCGACAAAGAAAATGAATAAAGGGGTTATTAAATAGTTCATATCATGAAATGACGAACTAAATAGGCTGAGATATATAGTTAATAATGATTGAAATTACCTGTTGACTATCCCAAACAAGATGTTATAGTCACTATTTGCTTTGAGTAGTGAGTCCAGTATTTGAACTGTTCCGGCGTCAACTTTAATGATACACAAGATCCAGTGAAATCTGCATGCACACACGTTTGCATGTCTTAATTAAGCGGGCATATGTAAGCAAAAACATGTAGCTAGCTAGTAGGCAAAAACAGAAAATTTGTAGTACAAGAAAGTGTGACTCATTGGAAGTTGTAAGGAAGTAGTATATCTTCATTGTATTTGAGGCGCTTCAAGAACTCTAGCATGCTGTCCTCTACCTGCTTTTCATGAGGCTTGTTTATTTTCCATGTGTATTCATTAACGGTGTTTGGGTCAATGAACCTAATGCCATAGCGTCCACCTTTTCTCATTTCATACATCTTCATCTTGCATAATACCACAGAAAAGAATATAATGAGGATAATTACAGGTAATGATTGATCAAAAGGATCACTACAGCTAGCTTGAGACTTAAATTACAGAAAGAAATCACTTACAGACAATAGCAACTGACGATAGATTTGTCGAGTGTGTCTTGATTGTATAACTGAAACAGTTTAGAATACTCAACGGTTACAGGTTTCTCATGGTAGTAATGATCCTTCTTGACTTGCACCATGAGGGACTCTCGATCGGATCTCTTGATAATGTCCATGTACCATTGATGCAATTCATACATTCTCGTTGGGAGCTTCTTGACCTCTTCTGGCTTGACCAAAGGTTGGCCCCAGGCATATTTCCGTTTTATTTCCTCCTCTGTAAGCACATGCATGTCCTCGATCTCGAGGAGTTGTCCAACAGTGATGTTGAGAGTTTCAGCCTGCATTATATGCTCCTGGGTTATTACCACATCGCCCACCTCGGGAACGTAAACTGTTTGCCCACAATAATATTGGGCGCGCATACTGTCACATGTTGTTGGCGGCACAACAAGCGGGGGGTCGATTGCGCCGCCTGTTCTCCCAGCTGGGCAACGGTTTTCCCGCATTTTTTGACAGCTGCTTGTTGTTTGCTCGAGCTCGAGCTCGCCTCCTTCTGTAGACGTTGTCGATGTAACTTCCTGATGTGGCGCTCATAGTCTGTGTCAACAGGCTTACGAGCTGGTGGTTGAGCCATACGAATGAAGTGGACAACTACTTCCACAGGCACTTTCTCCCTTGGCGGCGGTGGCGGTTTTGGTCCAAAATGGGCGTCGACTTCTGCCGGCACTATGGCATTGGTTTGCTCCTCGGTCCTGTCATAAGCCCTCTCAGGAAGAGGAGTAGTGAGGTTTGGACCATATTTATATCGCTTGCCTCCGCCTGTACTTCCTGTACTATGACCTCGACTTGTACCGCTACGCACCATAGCTGCGGGGTGTCTCTTCTCCGATTGCTGAGGCGGCAGAGACGGCTGACGGGGCTGAGTTGGACGAGGAGGAGTGGCCTGAAGCTGTGCCGGACTTGCAGTGTCCTGAGGTTGTGCCGGACTTGGAGGAGGAGTGGACGTCTGACGCTGTGTCGGACTTGGAGGAGGAGTGGCCTGACACTTTGCCGGACTTGGAGGAGGAGTGGCCTCACGCGTTGGTGGACTTGGAGGAGCGGGAGTCTGCTGACTCGGTGGCGCACTTCGACAAGGAGTCGGGTGACGCGGTGTTAGTGGCCTTCGAAAGATGATGCAATCCTTTCTCCATAGGATGATACGATGTTTGGCATCTCCGAGTGTGTGCTCCTCGTCACCTCCAGGAATGTCAAGCTATAGCCCCGAATATTGGTCCACCACCTCATCAACCACGACACGAGCATAGCCTGCTGGAATCGGTTGCAATGGAAGGTTGCATCGGGGGAATTTGTATAAGCAACGCCGTCCACCACCTTCAAGGATATGTTCTTAATTTTGAAGTGTAGCTCGCGGTTAGTGTTCTCCGCGATGTCATCCACGGGGTATCTATCCAGCATTGCGTCAAACGGGGCGGAACCCACGCTGCTTCTCGGCATGGATGGGGCGGTGGTATCCAATGCTGGATCATCCGCTAGCTGCTGCAGCTGCTGAGACCCCTTTGCTGGCTAAGTGAGTCGATCTGCTCCTGCTGCCGCTGGAATTTGACTGCCAAGTCCGCGTGCGCTGATTCTAGGCCTTGAAGGCGTTCATAGTCGAGCTTCCTCTGCTCCTCCTCCATCTTCCTCTTCTTCTCCTCCGCAATCTTCTTTCTCGCACGGGTTCTGTAGTTGGCGTTCCAGTCCGAAAACCCCTCATACCACGGAATAGCGCCCATGCCTCGTGTTCTTCCCAGGTGTTTAGGATTTCCCAGGGCACGCGTAAGCTCGTTGTTCTCTCTGTTGGGCTCGAACAACCCGGATCGAGCCTCTTCTATTGCAACAAGTAGCTTATCTTCGGCTCCGTCCAGACATGCCTTCTTGGAAACTTTGCCTGTCTTCGGGTCCAACTCCCCCCCATGCGCATAGAACCAAGTCCTGCACCTGGGGGGCCAGCTCAATGTTTCTGGAGTGACACTTGCATCCAGCATCTCTTTCTCAGACTTATCCCACTTAGGCATTCCCACCGCATAGCCACCTGGCCCCAGCTTATGGAACTTATCCTTTTTTGCGGCATTGGTCTTGTTTATTCTTGACTGTTCCTTAGATAATTCTGAATCCTTGAATTTCATGAAATCGTCCCAATGAGCACTTTGATTCTCTAGTGTTCCCTCGAATACTGGAGTCTTCCT